CGCGGAATTCAGCCTTGTTTTGTGCACGGTGGATCGGAGCGCTTGGCTTGTTTTGAACCAACCAAGGCAGCCAGGTTTCCGAAGACACTTGAGGTACTTTCCGTACTCTATGATCAGAGAAAAGTGCGTTTTTAAAAAGGAGTTGTTCATAAAGGTTTCAAGGACGTTTTCTACATTTTGATATCGGCGTGAAAGAAAAACAACAAAATGTGCTTTTGAAATGGATTTTTTTTTACCATGTGCTCCACCGATTTAACTTGCGTGAACGCAACGATTTAACTTGTCTTACGCGAATTGCTTTTTAGGATTAACGTATGGGTTTTTTGAATAAATATTTTCTAGAAATTAAGTTATTTATCTGTCATATTGTTCATTCATAACATTAGCTCAAAAAACGACCATGAGACTACAGATCGTGAGATTTTTAGAAACATTCAGACGGGCCCTTTCTTGAATTAAAACTAAAGTGTTGTTTTTGTACATGTTCCGCATTGAATTGCTATTCATTTTCTCATTCATTACTTGCCATTCAAGAATTTCTGCAGTGTGCAGTGTGCTGCTCTTTTTCCATAACTTGTGCCCCGAATACAGCTTAATACCGCTTGAATTTTGCGTTTGTTTTCAGTTGTTTTTTTTACGGCTTTATATTCTCACTAAAAAGTGAGCTTATCTAAAAAATAAACGAGTTCACCTATATTCTAAAACGGACAGACTCGCTGGCTTTTCGAGCCCGAGTTTGTCTCTTTTTCTTTTAAGTGAAAAAAGTTGTAAGTTGCTGTATTAACGTTTATATTTGTAGTGAAAGATTGGATTATTGTTATTAGTAGCGAAAAAGGTTATCGTTTGCTTTCGTATGTCTGTTCTCAGAGAAAATATTATACACCTTACGGTAAAATTTTCTTTCAGATATTGTGAGGTATAAATGTAAAGGCTACACATAAATGTTCGTCCACGCCCGTTTAAAGAAAAAAGAAAGGAAAAGAGATCGAAGAAAATGTAATGGGCTTACGGGAAGACCAAAGTCCTTAAGTCGGCCTGATTTTTCTTTTAGGTCTTCCCTTAAACACAGAAACACCGACCCTAGAAATCGTAACCTGTAAATTACTGCTTCTTAAGAGACCTACAATTTAACAATTTTTTCAATTCAGGTTTGTTTGCGGGATATTTTTTCTTAATCATTTAGCCACTCCCTCTAAAGGTGTCTGATGCCGAAGGCTCTTAGGGATGTGAAGATTTCTTTTCTTTTTCTTTTCTTGGTGGCACATGTCATAGTTTGAAGCATGTTTTAGTTCTGCCGGTAAGTCTTCGTCGTGTTGTATTACGCTGTTGTTGTTGTTGTTGTCTGTCACGTACTGGATATATAGAAGCCTACAGAACTAGATGAATTAGTCTCAAACAGAGTAATAAAGGGTGTTGTCTTAAACTGGGTATGTATTTTAGGAAATAAATTTTGGTTCTAAGGAGGGTCAGGGTTTCAAGCCCTTCATAATGAAGGTAAAATATATTATATTGGTCAAGGACCCCCCCCCCTCCCCCCAGGTCATTGTTGAAGGTTAAGGGGAAATTTCGTGAGCACTGTTTGGAGATGAAGTAAGCAAATTTGAAGCAGTGAATAATGGCCAGTGTGTTTTCTACCAGTATTCACAATCCTTTTGCAGGTTTAACTTAATTACTGGGAAATCTTCAGCCTGTTTAGACTCCGCGATCCTTACTCTTCCAGGAAAGTCCGTACGGGAATGTAAGTTCTATTTCAAATATCGCCCTGTCATTTGTCTGAAGTACAATAAGAGAACTTTACGTCTAAGGTTTAAAAAACGTGTTGGTTGTTCGTTTTGTTCAACCGAGGGTATCTTTGAACGAACTGTACATCCCAGCTTCTGGTCACGAGATATTTCATCTCATGACCGTTACTATTTAAAGGATATTATACATATACAACCATAATGCTACGAATTCGATGCTGTGTGGTTTAATGTTGAGAAAATTGAAAGCGGGTTGAGATATTTTTGAGGGTAATAGCTGTATTGCGCACACTAAGAAGAATCTCGTATGAATAGCAAATACAAGTCGGTGCACGGGTCCCGTACGAATAGCCACTGGGTAAAAAAATGGCCAAACTGCTAAACGACACTTAAAAGAACCGTGATCTACGAACAAAACTACTTCAGGTTCAGGTGCACACTTAAGTGAAATGTAAGATTGGTTTACAAATTCTATTGAACATTATAGTGGAATTACTTGAAAAGGGTGTTATTTACAGAGTGCACCCAAAATTATCGCCTGGCAATACTGTAAGTAGTCTTTATATCACAACTAACTGTTCGTGATATTACGTAGGATTCTACTGCCCAGCCCAAAAGTCAACCTCGTCTCCGGGGCTCCACCATTTTTCGTTCTAAGAGAAATAAGGAAATATCTACTAGCAGTAATTGCGCTCTTCTGAATATCATTTCTTGTTCCATTAAAGCTGACTGAAGAAAACACAATAAAAATTGCTGACGTTGGTCTGGCTAAAGCAGAAATAACAACAGTGTATATGGCACCGGAAGTGTTCCGTTCCCGAGTGTACGACTCCAAGGCAGACATCTACAGCCTGGGGCTGATAATGTGGGAGATGTGGTACGGACAGCTGGCCTTTGCTGACCCTCCAGTTACAATGCTGGAAAAATTCTTTGACGAGGTGGGTAAAGGCAAACGTCCAGTTCCCAGGCAGACCTGCCAGGAGCCTCCATCCTTCTGGGAACAGCTAATGACACAATGTTGGGACGGAGATCCAAAAAAACGCCCCGCAGCAAAGGAATGCCACGAAAGAATAGTCAAGTCTGTAAGTCCTGAAAATAGTGTTTGAGCCGTTATCGGGTAGAATAATGAACTGGAAGTTATTAGAGTTTTGTAATATTAGCCAGTCACAGCAGCGACAGACACGTTGAACAAAACTGCTTTCTAAGCCTTTATTAATCTTTTTCCACCCTAAACAGTCTAAACGTTGTCTACTGTTAGCGTGTGTTGATGTAGCGCGCGAAACATAACTTATACAACATTTTAAACTTTTAATTATTATCACAATTCTAAGGAAACAGATCGCAAATAATTGTTGTTGCGTGTAAAATTATCTAAAAGCAGTAACTGTTCATCAGAAGGATGCCTAAAATGTGTGTAATCCCACAATTGGTTTCGGCTCCATTAAATCCTATATTAACTGTAGAACATTTTAGGAGGAGCTACCCACAATGTGAGCACAGTTACTGACACCAAAGGTGGCCCAAGCGTAACATGAGAGTTTGTATGGGAAAAAAAGAGTTTGAAAATTAGATGAAATAAATGAAGCTTAGCAATTCTTAAAACTACTCGTCTTGCGTTGTCATCGGTGTTGGCTAGTATACGATAGTTATCAAGAACATAAGGGTTGGGTACACTGCATCACGACCTAATAACAGGAACGAGTGTTGTAGCCATAGTTGTCTTGTTGGTTTGTGATGTGGTGTCTACTCCAAAAGCACCACAGAGTCTTGTTAATTCTTGCTTGGTGTAGATCCTTTGGAATGCGTCTTGGCCAAATTTATTTATGTAAGTAACTAGGCGATTGTGAGAGGATACGTTTCCCTCGCTTTGGTCACAGGAGATTTCTTCAAACGAAACCGCGGATCTCTTTTGGAGTACTTCTTGTTGTAAGTTTTTGCAAGACTTTTTTTCGATGTTCTGCAAACTTCTTTACCCTTTATGATTTTTAACAAAATGGAACAATTGCACTTTTATCACAGTTCAGATAAATAGAATGATCGACAAATATAATTTACCTGCCCCTATCGGAGGCGACAAAGAGGTATTTGGGTAAAAGAGTCAGTATTCAGGTTATCTCATGCAGCTTTTCAGATGACGAAAATAGCTCTGCGCCCACCCATGGCCTCCTCCCAGGGCTTTCCTTTATAAAACAGTAAAACATATCAATTTCTTTTAGAAATTAACGAATCACTAATGAACCGTCGTTAATTAACACCGAAGTAGTATGCTAAGGTGATTATTAAACTTCGTTTTTTTACTTGTATTTTGAGTCTGTTTTCAGTCTTGTCTTTCATTTTCATAAATTAAAGATAAAGATAATCAGAGAGTCGACTTGGCTGTGTGCCAGTATAAAATCCCGCAGGTATTGGCCTGCCCCCATCATCAAGTATCGCCGCATTACTAATTTGTTCATGTCCTGAATGATTTTCAAAAGACAGAAAAATGATTATGTTAATTGGCGCATAAAAAGGTTAACGTTTTTCAACCGAAAAATAATCAGCATATTTGAAATTTAAGCGTTGCTATTTTACCTTCTTAGAATCGATTACATCTGGAGGGAAGTAGGAAAACCACTAACTCAACAGACTAGGGTTGTTGTTGAAGCCTCAGTAGCATTTTCAGTTGTGGTTTCTTTCGAGTTTTCCAACTTTTCTTCGTTTAATAGTGTTATCCGCTGGTCTTCAGCATCAAGAAGGAACTCGTAGGCCTGGTCGGTGATGTGGGTTAGGCCTCTAGACCTGTACTGTTTCTCTTCGGTTACAGCCAGTGTAGAAGGATACTTGGTGGAGGTCTCAAGGTAGCTGAAGTTTTCTAAGACATATTCTTTAAGCAAAAGACACATCTCGTAGCTATCCTTTGCAGACTTATACGTTACTGGGTTTAACGGGAGTAAATTGTCCTTTGCATGTTTTCTTCTATAATCGTCGATTGGGCAGCGGTGAACAAACTGCCAATTAAAGAAGGTAAAACCAAGGCTATGCTCATCACTGGCAAGCGTCTCCCCTCAAAGATCAATGAAGAAATGACTTTAACTATTAAAGGAACTGAACTAGAACTCGTTCCCAGTGCTTAGCTGCTAGGTCTCGAAATTGACTCTGAACTCTCATTTACTTCCCATGTAGAGAAACTTTGTAAAAAGCTGTCTCAACGAATTGGCGTATTAAAAAAAGATAAGATCTTGCCTCCCCACGAAACAAAGGCTATTGTATTATAATACTATGATAAGATCTGTATTGCATTATGTCAGTTCAATCTGGACTAGTTGTGATAAGGAGAATTTAAGCCGTGTTTTTAAGCTACAAAAGAGAGCAGCAAAGGTAATTTCCGACGCTAATAACCAGGCGTCTAGTGTTAAGCTTTTTATAGTCTACAGTGGCTTCCTTTTTATGAAGAAGTGAAAATAGCTAAATGTTCTGTGGCATATAAACGCATCAAAGGGTGAAGTTCCCTTATATACTGAAGACTCCTTAAGACTCAACAGTCAGCAACATAGTCCTGCAACTAGATATAGTAATATAAATTTTATTTGCCCAAAATTTAATCGGGTGACCGAAGGCGGTAGGTCGTTCGCAGTTTCTACTTGCCAACTCTGGAACAGCTTAAATCTAGAACTCAGAAATGCAGCATCACTAGAATCCTTTAAGAATAATTATCAAAATATCTTATTTAAAGAGCAGCAGGAATTACACCATTTCATAGTTTAATCATATTCTTGTATGTATTTCACTAGCCATATCACTAGTTCTTATACTCATTCATATTGATGTAGAACTTCTATATTTCCTTAGTTTTATTTATTTTGTACTTAGACTTTGTATATTCGGAATCTTATTTTTTTTTTCGTAATTTTAATTTTGATAGAGGGCCACAAGTTTACTAGTTTCTGTAACTAATCCGTGCTACCGTCTTTAAATAAAGTGTATTATTATTATTATTATTATTATTATTATTGGGTCGCAGTAGCGCAATCGGCTAATCCCTCAACTTAGAGTCTCCTCTGATCTGACGGGTCACACAGGTGAGTCGGTTCAAACCCCAGGAATGATAAAATACTAATTCTTTCTTACGCGAATAAGATAAAGAATAAATCATTACAAAGAAATCGGAGTGATCTCGAGACATCTCGAACTAATTCGGCTCTCACTTCGTCAAATAGCCGAATAAAACCGAAAACCTATAGACTTAGCGTGCCCAATCTTGTCCCAAAAATGTCAACTTTGATACACTCCTGAGCGTCCCGAATCCTTTACTTCGCGCTCCGCCGAAGTAACAACTTATTAAGGCCCTTCCCTACCCCACCACTTTTGTCTGCAGCCGTGGGCCACCCACTCACTGTTAGCGCTGTTCCTGGGCTGTCTGCCTGTGCCTTGATGGCAAGCCCATTCAAATTTTTCACACCGGAGTGGCCTGCAGCCCCGCTCCAGGCTAATTCAGACAGACTTATTGGTTTACAAATAACAAAGATAGCCAGACAGGAGGCGATTGTAGAGTGGAAGTCAACATGCCCAGTGTAGATGTTTTACATAGTTCTCGCAAAATATATTAACACTTAACTGTGTTTTTTGCGTTTGTGCAGGGCACTAGAGTAGAATCCCAAGGAGTGATTACAGAGGAGTCAGAAGAAGATTCTGAAGTACACGAGGAAGTGGCTGAGTTGGCGAGTGAGGAGGGCATGGACGAAAAGACCGATGATGAAACTAAAACTGAAACCGAAGATGATGCAGAAGAGAAGAAAGTTATTGATGTAGAATCCGGAGCAATGGTAACAAGTAAAGGCACCAGCTGGGCCTCCAAAGAGTGGGCTGTTCACCTGATGCTCCCTCCTGATGCTGTATCTGAGCGTACGTCAATAGTGGTACACAGATGGGAATACAGTGTCCTTTCACCCCCGCTGCAGGAGCATGAGGCCATCACTAGCAATGTTATTGAACTATCTTCCATTAATGGCCAAGAACTAAAATTTAACACCAAGGTGAAGCTGTCGCTATCCCACAGCGCAACAGACCTCTGGGGCTACGAGCTAGTGATAAAAAAGCTGATTGACAAAAAGGCGAATAAATGGGAAGACTTGGATGGAACCAGGGACATGCGTTGTAGTCCAGACGTCGAAGACAATCACCCTTTTGACATGAAAATACCAGAATTTTTCTTTCCCGTTGCCCAAGCTGATATATCTGAGTGTTCAGCATATGCAGTAGTTTGCCGTCTCAAGGCTTCTCCAACTTACACCATCACGTCTGCTGGCGGCTCATTTGGCCATCCTGACTTCCCAGGCGTGACAGTTACAATCCCTGAGAATGCTGTTGCACCTAACGCAAAATTCCCGTTGGAGTTAAAGGTTCAAGAAGTTTCAGATGAAGAATTTAAAGAGGAAGCTATATTTCTTGGACCTGTATTGCGAATCAAATGCTTTGAAGCTGTCCAGTTCTTGAAACCTGTCAACATTCAGCTGCCAATTTCTCTTCGAGAGCAACAAGACTTGAATCTTAATCCTACAACATGTCACGTCAGAGTGCTATTCCTCAAGTCCGATGGTGACCAAAAAGAATGGATTGAAATCACTGATGATCTTGTGAAACCACCAAGTCTTGATGGAAAGTTTGTTAGGTTCCATGTGGAACGGTTCTCTAATTATTCGCATCGTGTTGAGAAGAAAACCAGAAGCTCCGGTTTTAATAGACAACGCATTAAAAATGTCCATAATAGCCGCATTTTTGTTCAGCCCAGAGTGACTGTCTTTTTCGCTTACTTTCGTCCAGACTTTTTGAAAATTTTGTGTCTGATGTGTTGCCCTGCTCACCTTAAAGGAAAGGTGGTAAAGGAGCTTGGAGAACAAGGTATAACGCCCATTTGCAAAAACTCGAAGAAAGATATGACACCTGGGTACGATGAGGCATCCGTGTTTGTATCAGAAGGAATATACCCTTATAAAAGGAGGGACATGGAGGAAATTTATCTTAGGCTTTTAGAGTACGATCCAGACGATGCTGAGTTGGAGGTTCGTTTTTGTCACGAGAAAGACGTAGCACGAGTGGAATTTTATGACAGCTTAAAAGCCAGAGCGCCTCCATTGTGTAGATTGCACTTAAGAACGCCCACTCAGGGTAAGGATCGTTCGGACTTGTGGGAACATTCACAACGCCCTAATGCATTGATGGAAGGCAGTCCAACAGAACATAAACTAGAACTTCTGTCAAAAAAAATCTCTAACGATTGGAGAACGCTTGGTCGACGGCTAGCCTTCCAAGAAGCAGATCTGCAAGAATATGATGATGGTCACCGACAAATATCCGAAAAAGCATATGCCATGTTGTTAGCCTGGAAAAAAAGAGAAGGCTCAGCTGCTACCTACAGTGTTCTACACCAAGCACTGTGTGACCCTTGCGTGAATCGTAGAGATTTAGCCCAAAAATTTGTTGTTGCATGTACTGAATTAGGTTTTTAATTTTTCCTTTCGACAGAATCGACAGCAGTGTACTTCCTACTTCTTATCGTTTAAATTTCTATTGCTTTTTTGTTCTTGCCTGCGTCGCAGACGGTCTAAACCTTCTGTATACGGTTGCAACGCAGGCAATTTTTGTTCGTGTGCAAGAAAACAGGGGCACCCAACGAGAGTATAGTTCAAAACCACTTAAAGGGTCCCTAAACATAGCATTGTTAAACGTATGTACGTATTTCAACGATAGATATGGGCATATTTTTATCCCCTAAAAATTTTTCGTCTGTTAGGATTTCCTAGCTGAAAGTCTTATGACCCGAGAATTATAGGGATCAAAACTTACATTTTCGAAAATTTCAGCCTGAAAATGGGCTCCCGAAAATTCTAGGTGATCTTTTTAGGGTAAAAAATCCGTTGCGGATGTTCGAAAATCCTAGGAGAGGCAGGCAAGCAAGAAATTTTACAACAAATGCTCCGAAAACTCTACATCTCAAATCGTCTTCCGAACAGATATTTTCCGAAAATTGACGTTGGTTGCCCCTGAAGAAAAATCATAGAAGAGATAAATACGTGCGTTAATTGTCTGTATAATCAGAAGCATTGCCTCTATGCTTACTTATTCCACAATGTAGGCGCGTGTACTGCAAAAGGCTGAGCAGAAAAAGAGCGCAGTGATCTGGCAGGCTTTTAAGTCTCTAAACGTTCTTGTAAATGCCATGGCGCAGAATTGTGTGAACATTTAAACGTTAGTAAATTGATCTTGAATACTTCTCTATATTCTATAGGGAGCCAATGAAGCTCCTGATTAGAGCACGGGTATAATAATGTGCTCGTAATGCTAATAAGCAAAATTCTATTGTTTTCGCTCATTAGGTTCGTAATTTGTGAAGATCGATGTTTGACCCGGAAACCGGTCAAAGGTTTCCTTCGTTTGAATATTAAACAGACTAATGAATTCATTGCCGGAAAACTGATTCCCGTCCGTTGATTCAGCAATCCATTCGTGAAATGAATAACTCCGGCCGTACATTATCCAAATTGAACTCGAATCAAGACTCAAATATTGACTAGGCTACTGAGTAGGTTATTAAATAAAACGTTACCTGTATTTCTCAGGATTAAGAGGTTTAATGGACCGCCACGCATGAGCTAGGTGAGCCTTGCCGCTCTCGCGATGTGTTCGAAGAAAGCGCTGACTGCATGTGTGTGCTGCACAGTTCCATAACATCGGGGGAGGGCAATTTTGTTGACCCCTGACATTGCTACCTTTAAATCGCTTGATATTTCGTTTGCATTGGATCCTGATAGTCAGAATTCTATAACTTCTTCTTGGAAAGCTCCAGACTCCGAATCTAAACTGTCCCGTTGTCCGCCATGATTTTTTTCCTTTTACCAAGGAAGAGCTTGTGCCTAGTATTCCTTATATGGCGAAGCTTCTATTCAAACGAATGGACCTCTTTAGCTCGTATGTTATTTTGTTCTCAGGGGAAATTGCCCTGTTGTCTTTTTATATGCACGGCAATAACACCGTTCGGGGCAAGCGCTAGCTCTACTCTCGCTGGGTGCCTGATTATTTTTTCCTTACTTTATTATTTACAGTTTGAAGCGAGAGACCGGTGAACACGGTTGATTACAGTATGTACATCATAGGAAATTTCGATAACGGACCTCTCAAGCCAGTTCGATTTTTGAAGCAAGGACCAGCTTACAAAAAAGAAGGACCGGATCCTAGGTAAGGATCTAATCAGTAATAAGTGAAAATATAAAACAAAGAAGCAAGGCTGATTTTACAGTCGGGAATATATATATATATATTTTTACCAATATTTCGGAAGGCACGGCCTTCCTTCTTCAGGGTTTTAACATATAATGAAGAAGTTAAGGTAAGACGTTACAATTTGAAAATAAAAGAATAGCGTGCAATATGATACTATAATAAAACTTGAACGTTGCCGTTGGAGTAGTGATTGAAAGAAATTTGAAATATAAAAAGATTATGAATAAATGATAAATGAATAGAAGAAATAAAGGCTGTATTATATTTCATCTCCCTTATTCATATCTAATGGTTCAAGAGTTTTACCTCTCTCGATGAGGTATGCTTCTCTAGCTTTTCGTACACTGTCTCTATTAGAAGCCAGGCAGGGTTAAAGCAAGTACAAGAACAATTACCAAAGCCAAAGCATTTAAAAAACATATATCAAAGAAGTTAAGTAGAAACCTGATTAATATAATATAATTTTACAATTTTTTTAGCAATTAAAAGTGTGTCGAGCTTCTCAGTGCAGTTATACAATTGTAGTTGCAACTTTTGATCACAATTTGGTGTCCATAGATTTATGTTTAAATTTCTGCGTGTGTCACCAGGATCGGTTAATGATCTAAGCTGTTTCACCTTAGATAAATCAAAAGCAACAGTATCTGTTCGTCCTTTTTTGTTTTTGGTGTCCACCCCATTTAAAGCACGACGTCTTAAACACCACATAATCCATGATTGTCAAAATTCAGGAATTTTAAATGCGTAGATTTTTGGATTGACAAAAGAGTCAAAAGATTGTGGTGTAGTAAACCTGCCAGGCTGGAAAGATCTTGTGAACATTCAATAAATACTCGACAATTACATAAGGAAACCATGGGCCACGCCAAAACAGCAGCAGCAGCAGCTACGAACAGCAATGTTTTTGTCAAGCGTTGGTTTTGGGCGGTTCTGGTTTGTTGGTGAGAGGAGATGGTTCTCATTTTACCGTGATTTTCTCCAAATACTAATGTTACAGACATATGATGAATAAAAAAAATCGAAAATATTATTACAGAAACATAATAAGCTGCTATGACTAAAATTAAGTTTGCAAGAATAAAGTACATCGCGCTGGCAACAATAGCTGGCCCATAGACGGCGTAAAATCTTTCACAAGATATAAAAACTGCGGAAATTAACGAAGCCTGCAAGAAAATGATATGGAAGTGAAGGTAAAAGAAGTCCCGTCCAAACTCCATAGCTGAAAACCGACCTTTGAATAAACAAACAAAGGAACGGATACAGCTCCTAACATTACATCCGCGAACGCCGTGTTTATAACCAGAAACAAGCTTTTCCGCTCTCGGAGCTCCTTCTCTAGTGCGAAGAAAACAATTGTGACCAAGTTCCCCGTGACAATGAAGAGAGCTTCAAACAAAAGAGGCTGCAAACTACTATTTCTTCCGCTCGAGACGGGAAATCCATATGCGCCGGTGGTGAAAGTGAACTGAGGTTGTTGCTGTTGTTGGATCTCACGGTAGTTGACGTATTTTTCATTTTAGTGCGAATTGAATCAGTTGTCGTCGTTGGTTGCAATTTATTTATAACCCAGAGGATTTGGAAAAAAAGTCTTACGTAAAAAACTTGCAAGGGTCAGCGCGGAATGTATCTGATAAGCGGCTTTTTGAAGAGGATTTACTGTGAAAGCTTTTGTTTAACTTCAATCCTGCTTTTTATGCACTCCTAGTGCTGATCCAATCGGCAACTTTATCACTAGGAACAGGTGCAATGCTCTGGGAAAGACTTTGAAATGAAATGTTATTTCAGATGGATAAATGACCTGCCATTCAGCAAGTACACGAAAGAATCTTAACTTCAACTATAGTTTTTTTATTACCATTTTACTATTATCATTTTTTAAAGAGGGTTCAACGTCGGTAGTTTGACTGAGCCGTTCGGATGTCCATCAAAACTTGTCTACTTGTCTACTTTTCACAAGAGAGTATTTAACATTATTCCTCGAGCCCGAATGGGCTCGGAGTAAATAGCCGATGAGGCCGAAAGCCGAACGGGCTATTGACTCAGAGGCCATAAGGGCGAGAGAAATAATTGTTTTAGTAAAATCCAAATAGTTGGTCAAAAATATCGAGAATAACAAAATTTTAGCCACTTAAAGCTGGACTTTAATCCTTTTTTGCCCCCCAAAAGCTGGCGCTTTTTGCTACTAGTGGGCTATAACCTATAGCCTTCGTAAATTTTCTGTCAGTTTCCAAGGACCTACTTATTATAACTCTATAGAAAATGATATTAAAGAATCTAATTCTCTCCACTTATTCCAAACGAAATTGAAGAAAAAATTATATACGAATTATTAGTTATAAATCTTGTAGTAAATAGTTATCTTTCTTCACATGTCTGATATTATTTTTGTACTTATTGT